CATAGGATAGGAGGAATTGCTTTGTGGACCACTGAGCCCTGGCTTTCTCCAGATCTTCCTAACCAGCCTTCTCTCCCTCCTCAGTGCTCAGCTGTCACTCACCAGGAGTTGTTCCCTCCCCTGCTGAAGCCCCAGGCTCTAGTTCACAGGGATTAACAGGAAGTGATGTTAACTATCCCAGCTTTGCCACAGCTGAGAGACTGTGGCTTGACTGTATAACATGCCTTTGAAAGCTAGCAGCTTGCAGGGCCTCATGGACAGCTCCTCACACTGTCAGACTTCAAACTCTTAGATAATTGAGCTATCCTGGTGTTAGCAAGAGCCAGGCTTAGAATGCACCTGGCCTGGAGGCCTAAGTTCACACCACTGGGCAGGGTTTGTTGGCTCTGCAGTTGGGCACTTCTGTCTCCTTCCTATGCAGGAGTGAGATGAAGCGTTGGATGACTTCACTGGCCCCCAATAGGAGGACCAAGTTCGTATCCTTCACATCTCGGCTGTTGGGTGAGTCCTTCACTTGGAAAGGAGGCTCTAGGTTGGCTTTGGCTAGGACTTACTGGGCATTAGCCTCAGGGTTCCTTGGCCAGTGGGTGGGAGGGTACTTCTGCTCCACAGAAGTCCATCCTGGTACCAAGCTTAGTTAAGAAAGAAATGGAAATTCCACTCTAAGAGTCAGGTGGCAGAATCCTGGACCCAAACTCTAGTGTTCTTTGGGGTTTTCCAGTTGTCTGTAACTCACATAAACTCCAAAGGAACATAAGTATATCTGCCTTGTGAAGAAGTTACTGTACCAGCCTGCTGGCTTGTCCTCACCCCAAACTGCTCACATGGTCACACACACCTAAGAACAAGGGCATCCTTTTGTCTTCTAGGTTGAGAACCTCATCATGGCTAGTGAATCTCTTCCTCCCTTCCCAGAATTCCCTGTAGTCTAATGAGGCCTCTCTGGGGTGTGACCTCCTCCCTCTCAGAGGACACCTTTCTTACTGTTGTGCAGTCCCCAGGTCCTGTTTTAGATAGGACTCAGCTACCTGTTGCTGGCAGAATTGTCCCTGGCACCATTGCCTGGTTGTGGACCAGGGTGGAACCCATGATGGGGACACACCATACCACTCTCCTCCCTCCTGCAGACTGTCCCCAGGTCCAGTGTGTGCACCCATATGTGGCCCAGCAGCCCGATGAGCTGACACTGGAATTGGCAGATATCCTGAACATCCTGGAGAAGACAGAGGATGGTGAGGCCCCCATCTTGGCCAACCATAGGAGAAAGGATTGAGGCCTGGATGTAGGACTAGATGGGGCAGTTAGCAGGTGGGCGGGAGAGCCCCTCGTTCCTGTTGGTGCTGAAACTATCTAGGACATTCTGCCTGAGCACTGGACCCAGTATTCATTGGCCTGTCCTCAGACTTCTGAGCCTTCCTTCCATTCCTGTGACCTGTGAGGCTCTGTCCCCTAACAGCAAGCCTAGCAGGTGGTTCTCTGTCTCCTTCCCAGCCCTGGCTATGGCCTCTCTAGGAGGGAGTGTGACTCTTGACCTCAACCTTGACCACAAGCTTCTAGGGATGTCTGTGACCACCAGGTCAAGAAGCCCTGCTTCTGCCCACCCTATGGATGGCAGGCAGAATTAGCTCCAACTGGAGTTTTTCTGTAGCCCCTGCCCAACTTAACTCCAGCCCCCTTTCTTGTTCCATAATTTCCACTTCTGTGTATTAACTATTCCTGATCAAAATCCCAGGTGTGACTGTGTATGATGGCACACACCTGTAATTCCACCATTCAGGAGGCAAAGGCAGGAGGTCCCTGAAATTTTATGGTGGCATAGGCACACTGTGAGAACCTGGTGTCATTACAACAGAGACCATCAAAATACCTGAGAACAAAGGCCCTCCCTTTCCTCCCCTTTGTCCTGAGTCATGGTTGGAAAATGAGGTGATCTCCACAGGCTCCCTCTGTGGGTCCCAGGGGATCCCTGCCCTTTCTACAACATTGTACACTGCCTCATACCCATGCTAAGGTGGCCTGAAGAATGCTGGGTAGGAACAGGCCATTTAACAAGTCTGGCAAAGACCTCTAGGAGAGGGAAGACAGCAGAGAGACACTTGGGGATTCAGGGTCTCCCCAGTTTATAGTGGCCACCCCACAACAACCACTTGGCACTCCAGGTGAGATTCTGAGAGAATATGCCCAATGAGAGGGCAAGCTCACTGTCTAGGTTTGCTAAGTCAGTGGTCAGCTATCTCCTACACTGGTCTCTTAAATGCCTCTTTTAAGAGTGGCCCTTCAAGTCTCCTGTCCTGGTATGGGGTAGCCTGGCAAGGTTCAAAGTAGACTCCCACTCATGGGAGAGCCTGCATCCTGGTTCTTTACACTCCATGTGCTTCCTAGCACATAGTAGGGGCAATCTAAGCTTAGTTGGGGTGCCAAGCCACTGCCCTTTGGAAATGTTGAACTCCTGAGGATGGCTTAATCCTTGCTCCCCATACAGCTAGGGGAGGGCCATAGGGAACCCTAGCTAAGAGGAAACCCCAGCCTTGCCTCCCCCTGCCCCTGCCCCTGCCCCTGCCCCTGCCCCTGCCCCTGCCCCTGCCCCTGCCCCTGCCCCTGCCCCTGTAGAGCTCCTGATCCTACTGACTTTGTTGCAGGGTGGATCTTTGGTGAGCGACTGCATGACCAGGAGAGAGGTTGGTTCCCCAGTTCCATGACAGAGGAGATCCTGAACCCCAAGATCCGCTCCCAGAACCTCAAGGAATGTTTCCGAGTCCATAAGATGGAGGACCCTCAGCGCAGCCAGAATAAGGACCGCAGGAAGTTGGGCAGCCGGAATCGTCAATGAACCTCCCCAGCTCAGGCTCCAGCCTGAAAAAGGGGTGTGGGCAGAGATGGGGAGCAGGCCCAGCAGAGACGCCTGATAGATTCAGAGGGTCTTAGGGAAGAACATCAGTGCCTTCCCAGGCAGTGGGAGTGGCTTGGGCCTGTTCTGTCCCTGCCCATGCAGTGGAAGCATTAGTGTCCTGGCCACTCGCTTGCTTATACACCGGCGAAAGGCTAAGTACTTAGGCAGTATTATACCATCTCCCACCAGCCTCTCAGAGGTAGAAGAGGGCAGGCATGCTCCAGAGACCTTCCAGGGACTGAAAGAGGCCCACACAAGGGTCCCTGGCAGCAGGCAGGTGGACAGTAACCACTGTCAGGATCCCCTGAACTGCACGTGTCCTTCCCTACTTTTGGAAGCTGTTAAGGAGTCTCCCAGGCATACGGATGGGCTGCCTCTGCCCAAGGGAGCCTGGTGAGCAGTGCCTCTGCCTGCCCGTCCTCGTGCCTCTGCCAGCCTCTCTTGCACGGCCAAGCCCTGCCCTCAACAGGCCTCCCAGAGCTTAGCTGAGGGTTCATGCCACCTCTAGCTCCTCGAAGGGCTTGATGCCACTTGTGTCTCCTGGCCCCTGAAGGAGCCCAGGTGTTTTGCAGATGAATTGGTCACTGCATCCTTTATGGTCATGGTTTTGAGAAAAGCAAATATCATTTTTGGCTGCATTAAAAGAAGCATCCTGTATAAAACAAGAGGAAGAGACCTATTCTTTATTGCCCTGATGTGCACAGCAACCAGGCATTTGGTTCTGGGCTAGGAGGGAGGAGCAGCCTTTCAGGCCAATAGGAAAGGCCCTTTCCCAAGGAGGGGCTGCAGGCACTTCCTGAGGGAGCAGCCAACATCCGGTCTCAGGATGGAAATGGATTTGGGCCTCTGCTTATGGAGGGACTCAGGAAAGGGCTCTCTGAGGGGATGGGGGACTCCTGCTGCTACAGCAAGAGTACCTGGTTACAAAGCCACTGAGTCCTCAGGTTTCAATAAGCAGTGCTCCTTTAGGGGATGTGACTTCAGGCTGGGATCCAGACTTCCTACCTGATCCAGACACTGGCCTCAGATGTTCCTTGGTCAGCTGGTTCCTCAGGGAACTGCTGTTCCCACCAGGGCTGCCTGCACAGGCACCCTTATTTATCTGTTTCTCTCCCAGAATGTCCATCCCATTAATGTTCCAGGAAAGTGTCCAGGGCACTGGGCATCTGCCAGATGCTCTGCATCAGAACAAGCTTTTTGTTTTGTTTCTTGAGACCATCTTCCAGTAGAGCCCAGATTGGCCTTAAACTCCCAGTCCCACCTCAGTCTCCTAAGTACTGGCATTGCAGGCATGTACTGCCACGCCTGACCCAGAACAGGCCTGTTCAAGCTACTGGACTTTATAGTATCGTCCCACAGATCACCGCCCAGTTCTTGGTGATGTTGAGACCTCATTCCTTGAGCATCCCTGGAAGGATATGACAACTTGCAACCACATTGCAACCAGAGGGCCACAGCTCTTACCATGGCTTACCCAGCCCCCACCACACACCCCATACTATCCCAGGGTGCTCCCCAACTTCTGGGTCAGCTGGAAAAAGAACAGCCCCCAGGGAGAGCATATACAGTAACCCAAGCCCCAGGAGTACGAATGGTTGGAGTCAGGAAAACTCTGACCCCTGGGAAGAGGGGTGAAGACACAAGGAGGATTGGAGTTCTGAATTAGGATATAGACCCTCCCACCCTAGTCAAGGTCAGAAGCTTTTACAACCCCATCCAATGTCAGTTCTTCTAGAGTTGATCTCTAGGAATAGGGTTGAACCTGATCTCCAGCTCCCTTCCCCTCCCCCAGTCACACTAGGCAGAAGCGCTTGAGGCCAGGAGTAGGGGGTGGGGGGAGAGGGGCCCTCAGGCACTCTGCAGCGGAGGCACAGCGAGTAGTACTTAGCAGACACCTGTTAGCTGCGCTCTGGCTCCCTGTATTTACTCAGGGCCCAATACATGCACGTGGCCACTCATACACATGTTCCCTGCCTGGAGCTTTCCACCCACGATCCCAGGCACAGCGGCGTGGTCCAGCAACACGCCCCCGTCCAGGTTCACACGCGGTTGCACCTGCACACGGGCTCGCACACGCGGAGATACGGTGGGAACAAAGGAGAGCACAGGGTGCAGAGTCGCCGCGGACGGGCCTGGGCCTGCGCGGCTCCTTTATTGACTTCAAGAAGCAGAAAACTTTCTTAGCGCGACAACCACGAGTGCCAGCACCACGCAGGTAGCCAGCAGGGCAGCTATCACGATGGCTGCAATGGCGCCTGGTCCAAGGGATCCTGTGAAGGACAGAGGACTATATTACCCCTCCCCCTCCCAAATCCAGCCCAGGCCTGGCCCTTCAGGTCTTCCTTCCCTCTCATCCTCCTCCCTCTCCTCTCCCTGCTCCGCCCTGGCCCTACCTCCGTCCTGGTCCACCCTTGCCGGAGGGGTGCTGTCCTCTGGTGCTGGAGCAGAGGTTGGGAATGGAGGGCCAGAGACAGCAAATTCCTGGATGTGGCTAGTGCTCTCCAGGGGACCTTCACCCGAGGGAAATTCAATAGGCTCGTTCCACAGGGTGGGATCGGGCTCCTGGGGACTTTCCGCTGCAAAGTCAAAATTAGACAGTAGAGCTCAGGTAGTCTGTGGGGGAGGGATGCCAACTCTCCCCACCAGATCACCTGGCCGGGAAATTCACTCCAAGTTTGGGAAAACATCCACATGTGACCCAAAACACCTATTAGGACAGATTGACTGATAGGGGCAGAGAGCCAGGAACAGTTGCAAAAAAACCCAAAAAACAGGGATTGCTCTGTCTCCCAGGGCAGACACAGCCCAGCCATCACATGGGGCAAAAGCTGTTTGTCAAGGACCTTTGAGGGTACCGCCACTCAGGCAAAGGCTAGAAGAAACCAGCCATAGGCTCAAATCAGGAGGCCAACCCTGGGCCTCTAGTAGCCCCTCCCTCAACCCATGACAGCATATTGCTGCTTGCAGGCAGTGGGGGAACAGATGAAGGGGATGCAGCCAGCAAAGGGAGGCTTCCCACACTCCATCAGTCTCAGCCTGTACACCCTGAACAGTCCTCAGCATCTGGGGCTGGGAGTCAGCATGGCTTGGAGTACCCAGGGATCCCAGAGTGAAGGTAAGGACAGGAAATACAGGATGGGTATCAGTCCCATGGCCTGATGTTTTCCCCTAAACACACACCACTATAAGAAGCCCAGCCTGTGAAGCCTAGAGCACCACCACACACTGGGCCAATGTCTTCACCAAGACAAGTTCGAGACCAGGCTGGTCAGCAGACTCTAAGATCCCCTTAGCCTCAGGTATCTTGGCTGGTCCCTGCCCAAACCTTGATTTTATCTGGGAAGGAAAGTGATCCAGGGGCACTCAGCCCCAAGCAGGTTCCATACAGAGACCCACTGGGTATCATTCTATCACCACGTTAATTCTAGCTGCCTGTGGCATGGGAATCATTTTATCCCTAATCAGAGAAAAGAACGTCAAGGCTCAGGTTAGGTGGGGACAGCCATGGTGGGGTGGTCCAAAGCCCTGGACAGGCTGGTGATGGCTCTGTCTCCCTAGGGACCTCCAGGAAAGCTGCACCTCTCTTACTATCCCAGCCACAATCTGCAGGTCCAGGGACTCCTTTGGGTGCCTCTGTCCCTCTGTGGACAGGCTCAGAATAAGGGTAGACCGAAGGGACTGAAATGTTCCTGCTCATGGTTTCCCCCCACTCCCTAGGGGAAACAGGACACGCAGTCAAAGCCTGACTCTGGTCAGCTTCAAAATAACCAAGCCCTTCAAAAAGTGCCAAGGTCTGGAAAGGAGGAAGAAGCGTGAAGCTTTGTTCTGGACCAGGACAGGGCGGGGTCCTGTGTCCTGTCAGAGACTCTGGGTAAGGCTGGTGAGTACAGTGCTGGGGTTCCTGTCCCAGTTTGAAGCCACATTCTGGTTGGGAAAGAGAGTGTCCTTGTTCCTAAACTCAACATCAGAGGCCAAATGATGTTGGCACCTCTGGAGCCAGGGAGCTATGTGGTAATATTGGTGACCAGGTGAAGGCTACGTGGGAGTTCAGTAGCTAAGTTTACAACTTTGTTTTCTTTTTTGTAAAACTGAAATCTTTTCATGATAAGATTTTGGCAGATCCCTTAGGACTTTGACAGGCTCTTTAGGCTCCGTCCTAAAGCCTCTCACAAGCCTGGGCCAGACTTGAGACTCAACTTGAACGCAGGGACCTACCGTCATGTGCCCTGGGTCTTCCCCAAACTAGACCCCCTTTTCAGAAAAGACTGGCAAAAGGCCCCCAAAGATCTTTGTCTCCCAGTTCAGGAGGCTCCCTCTCATGGAGTGACACCTGGGCCAACCTCCCTCTAAGCATGAAGAATGCTTAGTGAGGCCAAAGTGACCTGGTTAGAGAAGACAGTGTTCATAGTCTGAAAACCACAATGAAGGACCTCGGGCCTCAAGCAATCTAGTGTCAGGCTCCAGAGCTGGACAGAGGGGTAAAAAAGCCTAAGCATGCCTGCCATTCAACAGGCCTTGAGGTCTGGACTTCATAGACTGCCTGTCTGCCCTGAGACTCTTCATGACACACCCAAAATAGACAAGCAGACTGGGCCCTCCCTATCCCACCTCTACTGGCCGAAGCTCACCTCCAGTGCCAGGCATCTGGCCAGGGAGGCTGCCCAAGGCTTCTGAGTGCCAGGGCCAGCCAGCCTAAGTGGTGCCTATTTCCTGGCCAGGGGGCTCAACCCACCAAGGAAAGGGTGCA